AAACAAAGCTTGAACTGACCTTGGCCTTAAGCTATGAACGACTTTGGCCGTCAAATTCAAATGATAAAATGTTGGTTAAATTGTTAACTATACTTGGACAAAACAAGATTTGCTATCAAACAAACATATTGAATACCTTAATGTGATCTTGACATTTATTTGACTTCGAACGGCAATATCAAATAATGCAATTATCTTGTTTTTCCCTGTAACTGGCTATAACTTTGTTGTTTTTCTTTTGTAAATGGATTAACATATTTAGACACCATATCTTTTAGGTTAGGATCGTTATGTATATCAAACTCAAATTGTCCTTGGGTCACGTATGGCCTTGACCTTGAAGGTCAGATTATTGCTGGAATTTGCTGTAACTTGGTATAATTAATTAATTAATGGATTATCTTCATACTTGGACATTAAAAAACCTTTTGACAAGACCTTCTAAAAGATCGAACTGACCCTGACATTGAGCTTCAAATGACATTGACCGTCAAGGTCTTATACTTGAATTTTGGCTATTTATGTTGTCATAATTTTGTTAGTTATGTACGCATTTGATTCATACGCGGACAAAATAATGCTTGTGACCAAACGGACATGTTGAATAATTTAGATTAAATTTTGCTTATATTTTCTTAACTTTGTCACTTATTTTTGGAAATGATTCAAACTTGGACAAAACAATTAACAAGTGTGACTAGACAGACCTATTAAAATAAAAAGACGAAAAAAAAACTAATTCATTACTTATTTTTTTATCTATGTACGTATTTGATATGACCAAACGGACATATTCAATAATTTAGATATGACCTTGACCTTTAAATGACATTGACCGTCAATGTCAGATGATTGAATTTTGCTTATATTTTCTTAACTTTGTCATTTATTTATCGAAATTATTCAAACTTTGACAAATTCAAACAACAAGTGTGACAGAATACTAACTAGTTGAAACCAATGGATTTTCTATAATTTGATGTCATATGTAGTGATTGGGGCTGCAGGCTATTAAAGATTTCAGCTATATCAGCATGTAATGCAGATAAAAGTGACATGATGATTTGCCTTTTATGCAAATAAACGCATGATAATCAGCAACATAAATTAGAAGTCTAGCTGTCACCGTTCTAGTTAGTGTGAGTGGTGGTGTTGGAAGCTAAAACAACATTTTTCTCCAAAAGTACAGAGTGAGAGAAATTACGGTGTTCCGTTAGGGCCATTGCCTATAAATAAAGTATACCTGGAACGCGAAAACACGAGAACACGAAAATACGAGGACGAAAACGCGAAAGTACGAGGATGAAAGCGCGAAAACATCAACCACGAAAACTCGGAAACACGAGACCGCGAAAATTTATACGAGGACGAAGATGCGAAAACGCGATAATTTAAGTCGAGGATTATTGTTTTCGCGTTTTCATCCTCGTTTTTTCGCGTTTTCGTCCTCACATTTTCGTGTTCTCGTGTTTTCGCGTCCCATGTATACTTTATTTATAGGCGGTGGCCCTAACGTAGCTAAAGATAGGCCTACGAACAGGTTTTATAGTACTGCTAGACCTGTTCGCTGAAGCCAATCCCGTATCGAAAGTCAACCAGAATCGTGACATATTTATGTCATGCTGTAATTCAATAAATCTTGGTGATCTGGACAAAAGCTATATTAATACAGGTAGTTAGATATATTTGGGACACTTCAGACTATATTCTGATGAAATAATGCAATTGATAGTTCGACTGTGTTACTATTTATTCAAATATTCAAAACTACTTTCACTTTCGGTTATAAACATACTAAACGAAACTGGGTTTGTAAAACCACTAAAGGATTGTCAAATGGAGTGTTTGATGCATGTTTCAAGTAAAAATGATGCGATGTCTATTTTGCCGACAGAGTATATGGAAACAGTTTAATTTTTCAACTGGCTCCGTTTGCGTTGTTCTATCACTTCCATGTTCAAACCACCATGTAAAAAGTAGTGCGTTCCCATCATGCTTAGAGTGGTTTCACACAGGTCCAGTTTCAGCTATATCAGATATGTAATGCGAAAACACGAGAAAACGAAAATGCGAGGACAAAAACGCGAAAGTACGAGGATGAAAACGCGAAAACATTTACCTCGAAAACACGAGACTGCGAAAATTTATACGAGGACGAAGATAATTTAAGTCGAGGATTATCGGCTTGAAGTCCTCGTCTTTTCGCGTTTTCATCCTCGTGCTTTTGCGTTTTCGTCCTCGCATTTTCGTGTTCTCGTGTTTTCGCGTCCCAGGTATACTTCATTTATAGGCGATGGCCGTAACGGAACACCGTAGGAAAGGAAAACAACACTTTTCTCCAAAAATTACAGACTTTAATTGTGATCACAATATGTCTCTTTGAATAACAATTGTACAACTAAAACTACAACTACACTTAACAAATCTTATAAGTGTGCACCAGTTGTGACCTTATAACTTTTTCGTTTATCAATATATTTTTACAAAATTTTGTGTTCTGGCTATTGGCTGCATTTCCACATTTTCCCTGTGCTCAAGCATGCCAATTTCAATTATAAGGTGATTCAACCATGAACGAACAAGATTCACACAATGCACGAAATAATTGTGACAATTGGTGAAATAAAATTGCAAGTGATATTCTCGGATACGATAGAGATCAACATATCAGAAAAACACCACAAGGGTAGATTATCTATACAACAGCGTGACCAAGCCCTAGGACTGGTCAACACAGGAGTACACCAAACAGAGGTTGGTAACAAAATTTATTTGTTCAAATGATTTTTAATTCCTTTGCATTGTAAAAGCCGAATATCATTTAAATTCAGTTTCTACCTAAGACGAACAAAAATGCATATTTATTTATTTATTTATTACATGTATGTATCATTTGTAGGTTGCGTCTCGCATGGGTGTACACCGAAATATTATAAAAAGGCTAATCATTGAGGCATCGTTGGTAACCTTCTTCACCGACACCAAAATTATCTACAACGTTTTGTAACATCGATGGGCTGTAATACACAGTAAGTGTGGGTACATACGGTATTATGACATCATTTTGCAACATCGACTTTCGACACGCATTTACATTTTTGAGAAATACATCTTAAATTTGTATCTTGAATGAAAAAAAAATGAATAAACATAATACCGTGGCTCTGTTCTGTATTTAATGATGATTTCAGCATGATCGGGCAAATATTGACACACCTATGAAACCATTTATACATGCACACTTATAAGATTTGTTAAGTGTATAAAAGAAGAGAAAGATTTAATATGACCTTAAAGTCATCTTATAAGGTATTTTTCAACTATTCAAAATTTCTCTAATTCTCAAAAATGGTGCATATTTTCCCCAATTTAAGCTGGATTCCTTTTCCCAAAATACCTGGAAAGACCACTGGAAGTGCAAAAAAAATGACGTACATGCTCAGTTGGTTAGACCACTGGCTGTCACTCCCGAGGACCCGGGTTCGATCCTGGGTAACACCCTTGGGAATTTTCAGAGACACTTTCAGTGTTTCCCACCTAACCAGAGGTGGACTGGTAATTATATAAGAAGCCCGGGTAATCCTCGCATGTATCAGTGCTATGTATACACTGGGCATGTAAATGAACCAATGGGTCTTTTCAATAAGAGCTAGGAACTGTTACTGAATACTACATTACATTACATTACATTACATGTACCTACAATATGCTGAACTAGCATATTTTTCAAACTTGTGTTTTTTTTCATGGAAAGTGATTACTACTATACTGTACTGGCATGCGAGCAGTTCCCGTACAGAAGCAGTACCCGTATTTTTCATTTAAACGCTTGATTTTTACTTGCATTCTTCAAAAAATCATTTCAAATCAAGCAGATACATAAACGAGACAAAATCTAAGTGTCAGTTCGGCAGTACGTATACAAAGTCTCATTTTAAATCACATTCACCTGTGCGTCGTCAAAACGTGACCTTGTTTTCTCGGGGGGATTCCGTCCTTGCGCGCATGCGCTAAAAAACTTACACGTGAGGCAATTAAAGGGTTTTCCACTAATACCAACTGTTTACAGATAAGTAGGCAATGTGATGAAATCTTGTTTAATTATCAGAATTTTGACCAATATTACTATATAAAATAATTTTATGGCTTTGATGCGTAAAATGTCATGCATACAAGCATGCTATTGCATGTGAATGCGTTGGGGTAACGGTACCGGGTAATAGATATCCGCGTTTAGTCTACGCTCTATTTCCTGAATTACATCTATTTATCTCTTAGATAATGGTCTGTTCAACAATTGAAAATGAAAAATAGGTCCGATATAACAAAAATGTATAATTATAATGGGTAAGATTTTATGTACGGGAACTACTTCTCTTCATACAAAATAATGGATAATTTCGGTACCCCATATGAGGCCTCATAAGTAAGGGTTATTCTATGTTTAGAACATGATGGCATTTCCATGATTTGTGTGACGAGCCGAATATTATTGTGTAAAATTCAAATTTTGGTGAGTGAGCGTACAAAAAAATAACGTTTAAGTAACTATGATTTTTGTACGGGAACTGCTCGCATGCCAGTATACTGTATCATGCTAATTATTATAATTAAAGTACATATTGTGTTAAATATTTAACTTGCATTTTTGGCAGAACTTTAGTACAGTACTATAGCATATAAGAAAATAATTGAAATATGCTTTTTTTCAAAATACAGTGTAGGTATGCTACTGTTACAGTACTGTAGGGGCCTGCAGTGTACATAGTCCAATGTTAATATTTAATGCACTATGTACAGTCAGTAGGGGCCTACTTTTCAAAGTAATAATAAGTAATAACCTCATCATATATTCAACCATATTTGAGATAAATATCAATTTGTCTCGATGATAAACAATTATTTCGAATCTAATAAATTCATATATAAAATCACATATACTATATAACTCACTTTTAAGTGTAATAATAGGTCACTGAGATTTACGTCCCAACACTAACCGGAAGTTGACATGCAGATGTCCAAGATGGCGACCAAGGGATATTTCCCTCCAAACATTTTAAGTTAAGTCAGATTAAACAAGCTTACAAGCTTCAAAATTGAATGACATTCTGTTATGTCAATCAATAGCCGATGTACCTAACGTTTGCATCTATAATTTATCCTAAATGTCTTTAAAAGCATCATGAATACATGAAAAAATTTGGCTGAAAACAAAAACAATGTCATTACTCATCTGTTCTATAATGTTTATCATGCAACTGGACTTGACAGTCAATTATAAAACATGATTGAAAGTATAGCTATGTGAAACTGTAACTAATATATCAAGACAATGCCTGGGCGATTAATCTGTTTTGTGTGCGGCAGTCCTGGTGCAGAGACTACTCTGCGAGTGCGTCAAGTAGAAAGGGAGCCTTATTTTCCATTTCTTCTCCACCATGAACCACCTAAAGGTGCTCGCTTGCCTAACTCTGAGGGTGTTATAGACAGCTGTGCGGTTTGTTACATGTTCTTGACACAGCAATGGGAATCGTATGAAAGATCCAAGACCCCTGCAGTGAAGCGTTTGTATTGGCTGAAGAGGTCAGATAATGGAAGCTTTACTGGTGCTGAAATGAGAATTCAGGGGGAATATATAGCACAAGTGATGGGTCTGCAGTATCCTCCTGGAGTGGATGAGAGATGTTCTCCTGAAAACACAATAGCTGAGAGAGAATATTCTAATCATGCAAGCAGTAATAACAGTGCTAGTGCCATAACATACAGCCGTTCTAATTCAAATAATCAGAGTCAGAGAAATGCAAAGGATTATTCTCCACGACCACGGAACACTAGAGATTATTCTCCTCGGTCACACAATCAGGGAAAAAGTTCAGCTTTAGATTTGTCAACACCAAAGAAGCATACTGATAGCCACATATCAGAATCAAAGCCCAAATCGGAAAGCAATAACTCTGTGTGCTATATATGTGGCCAAGGATATTGCCATCAAAGTAATAATTTTCTAAGTGCATTTTATCAGGGAAATGGGGAACCGTTTTTTCCTGTTCTAGAAAGAATTAGTCCCTGTGCTGGTGCTGAATATATGTCAAGAAGTGGTCAGGTTCATGCTTGTAATCAGTGTAAAAACATGCTTTTTCAACAGTGGCAGGCTTTTGAAATGTCTGGTGTTCCAATTTCCCATAGAAATTTCAAACTTCCTAGAGAAATTGACAGTAAGAAAGTGGAAATCAAAACAGAAGATAAATATGCAAATGAAACAAGTGCCTCATCATATTATTGCTACATTTGTGGGTGTTCATACATCACAGATCATGTACGTCTTTTAAATACTTTACCACCTAAGAGAACAACACCAGCAGCTATATTTTTTCCGTTTGTCAGAGAGCTAAAAAGACCAGCAGATGCCGAGCCTTTAAGAGCCGACGGGACTGTGATAGTGTGTATAAAATGTTACAGTCATTTAAGCTATCAGTGGGAAATTCAAGAATCGGATGGTGTGCCAGTATACAGTAGACAGTATTCACTACATTTTCTTACTGAAAAAACATCACCGAAAGGTCACATGACTGAAATTTTACACCAAACAGCAAGTTCAAGCGGAGAAAGGATCGAGCCATTAAATATTCGCATCTCATCTGCTAGTCCTATGCATTCTAATCCTACCTCTGCTGCAAATTACCCTCAAGGATTATTAGCAATAGCATCGCAAGCAGAAAATGCAGCACAAACTGTCTGTAGAAGTAGAAGCTCAAGTTTTTCAGGCAGTCCGAGTAAAGGTCATGATGTTATCACTGATACACGAACAACAACTGCTGACACTTATACATGTCCAAGCTCATTATCAAAAACTGTACCACATCCTTTGCAGCAAGTGACTGAAATACCTAATCGTATTTGCTTTCTGTGTGGTGAGAAATGTATTATACACAAAATGCGTCATTTGTGCTCGTATCCAGCTCGTCACGAAGCTAAACATACAAATTCTCAAATAGAACCATTCTTCCCCTTCCTTGCAAATTGTACGCCAGCTCAGGGTGCAGAATCTTTAACTGAAGATGGAACTGTCATAGTATGTAAACTTTGCTTTTATAGTGTATTAAGACAGTGGACGGAATATGAACAATCTTCTAATCCAGCTGATAGCAACCGTTGGCTGAGGAAATATCATTTGCCAAACTATGTCTGCTATGTGTGTGCTGTTGAAAATGAGAGGAAGTTTTTCAGAACAATAGCAGTTGAAAATTTTAACTTTCTGAAGGATCACAAAGCTCCTAAAGGTTCCCTAATAATTGACGATGGAAGGCGAGTGGTCGTTTGCAAATCATGTGCCTACAGCTTAATGCAGCAGTTCTCAGAGTATGAGAGGATGGGTGTTCCACATCAGCTGCGTAAATTCAACTGGATGCAAAAAACTAGCCAGATGATGCCAGACAATATTCATGATGATGAAAGTCAGGTACATGCTTTTAATGTTTGTTGTCCTTTTTAATTTTGAATTTATATAGGCATGTAATTTTCATGCAAATCCAATTTTTCATTTGTAAAAAAAGAGATCTATTCATGTATATATTAAATTTGAAAATTGAACGGTTATAGCTTCACTGTGCTAGAGCTGTCATCGATTGAAGCAGTATCGATGTATCATTGATATTTTTTTGTTGATCGATTATCGATACAATTTTTAAAAATCGATACTTTCACTAATTATTAAAAGTCTAGAAATGATGAAAATTAACTCGAACCATAAGGGAAACAGGTGCCCTGTCAAAAGGACATGTCTTAATTTTAAAAACTATGCACAACTACTTTTACTAGTGTATGGTGGCTGTATTGGCACTTCAGAAAACAACTAATTTCTTTCATGTTAAAAGTGAAATCATTATATAAATGAAACAATCTAATTTTGAAAATTATTTTGTAAAAGTTAGAGCCGATAGATCTTAATCAATTATCATTATACTGTAACTGCCTTATTATCATTCACAAATGTATACACTTTAGTCTATCTGAGCAACATGTAAAAATGGCTGAAAAAATTGTGGGCAAAAAGAAGGCAATGTTCAGTTTGGGAACATTTAGAAAAGGGGGTTGTAAACTCAGAATCAGTCGCGTTTATGATTTCCCGTATAACCATGCCATTTAGTGGCAATACAACTAACTTGAGATCACATCTTGACTGTAAACATTGGGATAAGGTGAAACATCTGTCAACTACGCCGTTGCCAGGACCGATTATAAGTTTATATAGACACAATAAAAAACATGCAAAAGATATTTTTAAACAAAACACATCATTAGATCATGTACAGAAGGTGTTTTTTACTGAAATCATTCATACAGGTATGAAAGTGAAATACACATGATATATCGATATATCAGTGTATCGTCGATGTTAGTAATCAGATATTGATATATCAACGATATGTCTTTGACTGAATCAGTGACAGCTCTACACTGTGCGACAGTGTAGAGCTGTCACTGATTCAGTCAAAGACATAGTATGCACTGCCGTTCATGATATAGTGATCATCATCTACTTGTTAAGCTTGTAATTAATATGTTATTTTGTTTACCATGCTCCGAATTTAGTAGTATCTCTTATTAATACTCATAACATATTTCATCAAAGGAAATGTTAACACTGCAGTCTGAAAAAAAGTGTGTTTTCTTCTATGTGATATTTGCAGGATAATTCAAGAGAGGGTCAAGCATATGACCTTGGCCACCGACACCCTGCTGAGAGAGACTATGACCGTCCAGGGACAGATCAGTCTGAAAGTGGTTACCGCAGACGTCCATCTGATGGTGAGCAAGAGAGTGATGGTCACAGACATGGACTGCATGCCGGCAGGGATGGTGATGATAACTCACAGCAAGGTTTGTTATACTGTATATCTAGTTCACTATATAGATATGTTACATGCTGTCTTGTATTAGTCTTCTCTCTGTAAATTTAGGACATTCTCTTGATAGCCCAAGCTCTTAGCCCTAGCATATATTATGTTGTTTACCCTGTTAAATTTGCTTTGGATTATCATGAATTTGAATACCCCAAACAAACAAAAATGGGATATTTGAATGTAATTTGTTTTTATATTAACTTTACGTAGGATTTTTCTCATTATTCTGATATCCATATTAATATGCTTCTTTCCATACATCTCACATTTTCCAAATTGCTACTAGAGGCTGGTGGTATTTTGAATAAGGATGAAAAAAAACAACAAAAAACTGAGCTGCAAAATCTACATGTTTACAGATCTAATAATAATGTAAAGTAGAATAACTCATGGTAATTTATAAACTCACTTTAGGTTCATTATTATCTCCCATTGCTCATGTTTTAAAGATGTCTTTAAAACACCTTTTTTTCAACCAGAATTTATCTAATTGCCAGCATTTAATGTTATTTGTTACCAAAATCTTACTTTATAAAGATTTGTTTTTAAGGACTGTTACAATTTACTGTTATCATCATAATGTATTTTGACGGTGTCAAATGAATAACTGCTACAATTTCATATTATTACCATAAAATAAATCTCTGCTTTGTAATCAATCAAACTGTTACAGTGTCACTTTGAAATTTACTAGCTGAATAAAACAATGCTTGGCTAGGATTTTGAATTTTTTAATGGTTTTTACAGACGTCAGAGTCATGGTTTTTGTTTAAGTTAAACAACTACTATTTGTTGACTCTATGTTATTATTTGTTGTATTTTTGTCTGTGCTGTAAAAATGCTGTGTTTAATTAAGTTTGACCCAGCTGACTGTCACTGAATGTACCCATGTGATCAGTGTAGACCATGCTGACTTATCAAGGTCTGCATTGGTTGCTATTCAGTCAGTAGTTTAATAAGTTATTTTGGTATTTTTCCTATAAATGATGAATGGTTTTGTCCAGAGTGAATGACGGACAAGTCCATTGATGGTATTTAGAGTGGTTAGGATGAAAATTTGACTTTTTTGTTGTAGGAAAAAAATATTCATGAACTGATATTTTTTCTTACATCATCACATGCACATCAATACATAACACATTTGAGTGTAAAAGTTTTGATAAAATTGAATAATTAGCTTTGTAATAGTATAAGAGTTTTTCTAGATTTATTTCTTTTTTTATGTAAAAGAAAATCCTACTGCGAATTATTAAATGGCGCTATTTAGCTGATAATGTGTAAGAGCAATGAATAATAATTAAAAATAACATGGTTGATGACAGATAACCTGTTTTGTTTTCCTGCCATAAGTAGTAGGTATTTCATATAAGAGTTATCTCTCTTTTGTCATTATTATCAGTGAATATCTATGTGAAGCCTTGTAAAACTTTAGACTTGAATGTATTTGTTTTATAAGCATACTGAATTTCTTAAATGGAATTGACAAGCTTTTGTAACTGTTCAATATCATTTTGGGGGTGGCAAAATGAAAATCTAATGTTAGCTAACATTATAGAGCCTGGTCCTCTGTGTGGTTGTATAGTCTGGCCTGGCTCCATACTGGTGGTGTAGTGTATTCCCTTGGGTTCAAGCATAGTGAGGGTAAATATGTCCGGTACTTCATCTCAGTGCAGTTATAGTTTTCCGGATCCTTTGGAATCATTGATTGAAACATGTGTCTCATTCAAAGATTGAATACTGCTTTAAGTCGGTGCTAGGGGACGTGAGAGACGTTGCATTTATCTTTATCTTTCATGAACAGATTCAATCAAACAGAGTCTTTTTGTTGTTTCTTTTGATATGTTAGATGGATCTCACCTTTTCCAGATTTAAACTACAGCCTCATAAATTCAGTCTGATGTCTGAAATTTTACACATTTGTTGCTTATTGTAGTGATAAGTTACCCATGCAAATCTTAAGATATTATTTTTATTACCACTTTAAGTTGAAGACCTTCAGTTACTTAGTCATATGAATATACTTTTGGTTCCTTGAGAAGATTTTGGCTTTTTTCCCCCAAGAAAAATGGAAATTTTTAATTTTAAGTGAGAAAGAAGAGAATCAGTTCTGTGGTCAATTTGTGGTTAAATTCTGACTCTTTTTATGTTATAATGTTATCTTTTAATAATCTTTAATCTGAAATACATTTTTAAAAGTCTCTTAATTGTAAATTATACATGCCATTTATTAAACATTTTTTATCTTCACCTGAATCAAAAATGCAGGTTTTTTTTACCGTGAAAAAACATCTCCAGTTGTTTATTTTCAATTTTCTTTGATAATTTGTTTTTTATATCAACCTTAATAAGTGAGGAGAGATTTTAAATTACTGCTAATGTCATTTGATTGAGACGATTGCATGTTTGTTAATTTAAAGATAGTTTTAAGGACGGAAGATCATTTATTATGCAAACATCTAAAACCAGATAGTTATTATAAACATGTACTTTCGTTCAATGTTTTGCGCCGATAGAGTCAATTAAAAGGGCATTAGTGTATAATATCTCGATATTAGTTTTTATTGAAGTTCTATGAATAAAATAACCATTTGCCAACATTCTCCCTTAAGTTTATTGGTTCTATAAGGTTTATTTTTTTGTCTGTTATTTACCCTGCCTTATACAGCTGCCAAACTATGTTTGCCTATAGTTATCAATTATTTGACATTGCCTCATGAAAACCATATTCTCATAAATATCTTGAGAGACGCGAATCAATAGAAAATGCCGCTAAATTACCAGCGTGATTTACCAGCATTATTCTTCTACAAGAAGTTGAAAGCCTGCCATTATTGGTTCTCCATTACAGGATGTAATGTTTAAATAGGTGTCAAAGGGGAGATCACTCCATAATAACTTGGCGATCGCCTTGAGGTTTCGCTATTGATTTACTCACTGTTAAATTCATTATAGCAGTTACAGAGAGGCCTAACCAATATGCTTCTGTTCAAAACTCAATAATTCTCGGATGTGATAGAAAAACATTTGCCGTGTCTCAATCCAATATCTCAGTATTGTCGATAATTGTTGTACGCTGCGACAATCTTTTACACTGATCTGTTTTAACTCTTACATGGTAACGGTGTTTGCTCATTTGCGTTCATTCGCCTCATGGGGTTTTCCCTTACGATTTATATAAATTAATTACAATTAATTTCCTTTCTGCCTGTGATCCTCCGACTTCAATGGTAGCTCTTTTGTAAAACAAACTGTAGTCATTGATTGTAATGTTTCTTTCACGACAGATCTGTATGAAATATTCATCTGCCTTTTCACCAAATAGCTAGCTAGCTGCCATGAATTAGTAATAAACAGGCCTGCTAAAAGAGTAATTTTCGCAAGATTTCAAGTGAACTTGTCCAAATGTGTCAACGTAATCGTGGGTATTGATAACTTATTTTATGAATAATTGATCACAAAATCTTTAGTGCGAAACTATTGCATGGCAGGAAGCAATTTACAGTTTTTGCACAATCAAAATAAGCTTCTGGGGTGTTTAATTACATTCCAAAGAGATGTAGGAATAGCTCTCTGAAAATTGCTTTCGTGATTGCAAGTTCATTTGATTTAAAATTAAAAAAGTCTCTGAATTGATATAAAATGGTAATCTGCCTTTCCCCAGTATGATATTAAAGGAAGGCAATGTAATTGATAAATGGAGACAGTGAGATTAAGGAAATGTAAAAAAAAGATAATATTTATTGTGTGAAATGCATACTATTACTCTAGGATCAAAGTTCTGCTTTTAAGTTCAAAACTGGTCTGATATTGAGATAAGCTTTATAAAATGTTTCCTGTTAAATTCCTTGGTCTTGAATTGCCCTTGGAATTAAATGCCCTCACTTTTCTGTTTGGACGAAGGAAGATTCTGTGTGAGGTTTAACCTTTGCCTAGCTGATGTTATGTACCAAATGGCCTTGACCTCATTAAAATTTGTTAACCTTTAACCTGTAAAATTACAATTAACTAGTTAAATCTTTAAAAAAATATTTAAAATTAGATAAAATAAACTATAAGAGTATCATGTAAAGCTTAAAGGATTTTAATATCAAAATACAAAAATTGAGCTACCAACATAGAATCATCTGGTCCAAGGCTGCACTGATACGGGTTGGAAAACGTAAAATGAATTTTTTTATTACAATGCACATTAGAAAATGTTTAAGATATAACCAATCAAATAAATCTGATTTTAATTAAATGCATGTAGATTAAAATGTAAGGTTTTGTACTAAATTATACATTCATTCAACCATTTTATTTTTAATTTGAACATATTAATGCAATTGTAACTTTCTTCTGGAAGTTCTTGATTATAATTTACATCATTATGGCATTTAAATCCCTTTTACAGTAGCTGTTCACTTCCTTAATTTCTCAGTTTCTGATATAATTAATATTGTACTGTCTTTATATATGGAAGAAGGAATTTGAATAATTATTTAATTTAGTACATTTTTTGATTACATTTTGTACTTTGAACTCAAAACCTTGTCGGCAGCAGATTCTACCAATGTGACCAGTGCAGGCCAAGGTCAACTGGAACGTCTGTATCTATCTGATCATGGTCTGCACTGTTTGATATTCAGTTAGTAAATATTTTGAAATTCTCCCTAAAAGAGATAATGGATTTGTCTAGATTGATATATGGACAAGTCCATTGAAGATATTTAGTAAAGAAAGGGTTAAAAATAAGACACTACTTGTATTCATTGTATGACAGACTTCATAATAATTCTAAAATAAGGCAGTGTGATTTATTTCAGGTCCCTGAACATTCTGTGTCAGTCGGATTTCTTGTAAATTTTAATATTTTAAAGTTTTTGTTTGTTAAGGATTATGAACTCTAATAGGCATGTATTTTGACATCATATTGAAAAAACCCTCACAGTTTCGTGATTTTTGTGTCGCCTCTACGGAGTAGTGGCGACATATAGG